GTCTCCATTCATTTATACATACCCCCTCCATCCCTATATCCACCCAGCCCCACTTGTCCTATGCGTGGGCGTGCTGGGTGTATATATATGTGTGTGTATGTGTATATATGTGTATATATATACACACACATATATACAGTTGATCACCCTGAGACCAGTTTCAGTCATCAAGGAGTTATCATATCAGTCAGTTAATGAGCAGCTGAAACTAGGCTTGTAACAGAAGGCCTGATGTAACCCTCACTGCTAAGTTAACTACAGAGTGAACAGTCATCGCTGTTATCTCTGCTAGCCTGATGGGGAGATGGATAAATGTGTTGCAGTAGGACCTTTCCTCTCTGCTGCATAGACAGAAGAATGGTTCCGTCTGCCAGAGATACTGCAATGTCCGTTTTATATGTCAATGTGTGTATTAGGTGTAAGTGATCATGCTGGCTGTGTGATTCAAGGTATTTGTAGCTGTAGCTGGCTGCTGTGTCTGGGCACAGGATGCAATCAGCTCGCTTAGTTATTTGTACAAGCACAATGGGGGTGTTTGCACCCTGATGAGTGTGGTGATGGTGTGTGTGTGCAGCTGTGAAAACCCAGCTTGTGAGCCCGTGTGTGTGTCAGGTATAGACCTTTGTGTGCTTCTGTGTTTTGAGAGCACAGGGTGTAATGGGAATGGTGCTGCGGAGTTGTGTCCATGCGTGGGCGTGCTGGGTGCATGCATGTCTGGATCTGCGCATGTACACAGTGTCATCCCCAAAGACCTATTTTTAGAAAGGATATCTGATTGTTAAACTCATTGAGAGGGTGTTTCCCTGTCTCAACCGATCTGCTTGGTGTGGTGATGCAGTCTGTGGGAGGGGCCAGATGACTAATTTTTCCCTGGCAGGGCGTTTCTGTATTAATCGGTTATCTCTGTGTGTGCACGCGTGGTTTATCTGTTACCTGACCATGCTTCATGAGTTAGTTTTGTTACCTTTGGGAGCGCTGTTGTGAATCTCTGATCTTTTTTAAAAGTGAATTTCTGACTGGTAGAAGGTACAGACCTGGCAACCATTAGACTTAATCCCCCCTACTCTGTCCAGGTTCAGTAGAGACAGATTGATCATCACAGCCTGGCCTCAGACGGGTGAGCACTAGCTATGAATGGGAGTAGAATTTAGTCCTGGGTGCAGCCAATTAGGGCTAGCAGGGAGGGTGACTTTTCTTTTAACCTGACACCCTGGTTGGTAGCGTACTAGCTCATCCCATATAGATTACCAGATATTTGATATAACAACAAAGGCGCTGGGATAGGATCCCTTTGTATAACTGCTGTCCACCTTCAGCAGGTGTGTTTTATTGTTATGAAAGGAAATATGGTCTTGACCCATGAAAGGACTAGAAATCAAAAGACCTTGGTTCTTATTTCCTGCTCCTCTGAAGACTCATGGTGTAACTTTGGGCAAGTCATTTCTCTTTGTGTGCATCTCTCTGATTTCTGAGTTTGGAGATAACAAAGCCCCACCACAGGTAAATAAATATTAAGTAAAAGGCTTTGTCATACTTAGATTTTACTCTTCTTTAACACATTTTTCCCTAATTTATATAATTATTGCTTTTGAAACGGTCTGAGTCCTGGCCTAATGAGGTAGATAAAATTATGTGTATGTTATACTACATAAGCATGTAGACTTTTAAATTGGGAGGCGGGGTTCCTGGTCTAAGGGCTGGGGTTAGATATAATGTCACGTGATGCAGAAAGAGGTAGCAAGCCTTGAGGAAGACATTCACCGCTTCCCCACACATTTCCAGTTATGAACTGTTCAGGTGGGCTTATGTAGTCAGTGGCACTCAGTCCTGACTGGCTTAGGAGCCATGTGAGCAGTCAGCATTAACCAAAGACCCACGGCAACATCTATGCCCTGAAAAGTGTGACAAATGTTCCCGTTTAAAAGAAAAAAAAAATGATGGTATTGGTCTATAAGTAATAGAAACAGATGGCATCTGTTGGGCATTATTTATAATTGCAGGAAACACATAATGCACACAGCTAAAGAAACAAGTTTTAATAATATTTTCTGTGAAGTGCCATATACGGTATGTTGATGAACCACCTGTGGCTCAGAGAAATGGTCTTGAATATTGCTTGTAGGGTGTGATGTGATCCTCCTTAGCTGTGATCCTACACCTCTGTTGTTTCGTTAAGGGGATGCGGTCATGGTATGACTAGGATGCAGCTGGTGGAATAGCCCCACCTCTGTGAAATACCTTCCTCCACTGTCCAAATAATTTTACCTGAACAGAATTGGGCTACTCAGAATAGAACTGTGCCTCTAAGGTTACCATGCCAGGTCTGTCCTGACTTTGAGATGTTATTTGCAAGAAGAATGCACTGTTGTATGTAGGACAGTCTCTATAGATGTTTTGTGAAGGGTTAGGGAGGGCATCCTTCCCCTCTGTTATCTGGGTACAAATTACTTGTATCATTGGGTTCCATGACTGTTCCTTTCTCCCCACAGGCGCTCCTACTTCCAGCATCATGGCCTCTGACCTGGAAAGCAGCCTGACTTCCATAGACTGGCTCCCCCAGCTCACCTTGCGAGCTACTATTGAGAAACTAGGGGGTTCCTCACAGTCAGGACCCCCGGGGGCTGCACGGAAATGCCCCCCTGGATCCCCCACTGACCCTAACGCCACCCTGAGTAAGGATGAGGCTGCCGTGCACCAAGACGGGAAGCCACGTTACAGTTATGCCACGCTGATCACGTATGCCATCAACTCGTCACCTGCCAAGAAGATGACACTCAGCGAGATCTATCGTTGGATCTGTGACAACTTCCCCTACTACAAGAATGCTGGTATCGGATGGAAGGTGAGCGTGGAGTCTGCAACGCCATCTCCACCAGCTTGAGAGACCTCATTTTCTCCCTCTGTACAGAGTGTTCCCTGAGTAGGGAAAAAAAGCCAGGCACAGAAGTAGAAAATTCTGATGACCATCTGGAGGAAGCAGGGGGCCAGATGTCTTCTAATTTCCCCTGGAGTATTTGAGTGTTGAGGAACCCTGTCCTACTAAGACAGGCCTACAAAAATACCTTCTGCTAATCTGTCCCTAGACCAAAAACCATCCACAGTTGCCCCTCCATGGGTATACGAAAAGGACCTTAGCCTCCAGCATTTCCTCTGCTTTCCCTAGCTTCTCACATCCCCATCCTGGGCATATACAGACTACTTGCCTCCTCTCGGCCCTTTTTCTTTTTCACCCTTTCTTGGTGAAGGCTTCATTATGCTCTGCAGTTATCTACACAGTATTTATCTGCATCTCTCCACAGAACTCTATTCGTCACAACCTGTCTCTGAATAAATGTTTTCGGAAGGTGCCTCGGCCGAGAGACGATCCTGGGAAGGTGAGAAATTCATACGTTTCCAGACAAATTGCTTAAGCTGTGGGGAAGAATCCAGGGTCTCCCCTTTTCCTGCTGTGGTTGGAATTCTGAAATATATGAAGTGTGGTGTATTGAACATTAAGCAGAAGAAGACAGGGAGATCTTTACTCGTGTTCAGCGAACACAAAATTGTTCATTAAAAGTGTGCTCTACAAAGGTGCATAAGCAGGTATTAGCCCCCTTTTTTCCTGTTCTGTGATTTTTAATTGGCTTGGAAGGTTTTTGCGTGGTTTTTTGTTTTCTTTTTTTTAAAGAAAAAATGAAAAATGTATTTTTTTCTGTTTTATATATATTTAAAAATGCAGTTCTTGTCTAACCAGTTCTACATGAAAGACTTTACGGGTAACTGGAGAACTGGAAGGACTATGACATCATGGCTTTCAGGGAAATGAGAGTGAAGGAAGCAAGAGTAGAACCACTGTTCATATGGATTTTAAAATTTTGGGGGCTGAAAAAAATATTGCATTTAGCTCAGGTGTCTTAAATACTGGTAAGAGTGCTTTTTTCCCTAAAAATGGAGCCCTTCAACGCATTTAGTAAGGACTGACAGAACTCCAGGTGTAGAAAAGGAATAGAAGGTCTGTAAGGGAAAATTCCAGCAAAACTAAAAGTGAATATTGTTAATGTGAGAAGAAAAAGCAGAGGAGTTGGGGCCTCCAGAGGTTTCTTTCTCCTGTATCATAAAATTGCAAAAAAAAAAAAGCCTCAAGTCCAATGCCTTTTCTTTGCTAGTCCCCTTTAAGGGCTTGGGTCTTCAGTTAACATAATCTAGGTATCTGGGTAGAATTAGGTGGGTGTCTGCTGGTTGTGAACATTCAGGTGGGTTTAATACTCTGTTTTAGTAAACTCAGATTGGTTGCATGAAGTGGTGCATATTAGGTAGGGCTGTGTGAAATTTCGCTGGGTGTTTCATTTCGAAGCTCTTTTGATGCATTTCGAGCACAAAACGGTGAAATTAAAATGAAACAAAAGCCTTCAAAACAGCTTTGAAACGAAACAAGGGCATTTGAAACATTTCAGGTTCGAAGCTGGGCTTACTTGGCTTCAGCGCCAGTCTCAGCCAGCAGCTGCAGCCTTCTGTCATCTGGTGCTCGGGTCCAGGGGCCGCGCCCCCCTGGGAGGAGTCTGGCACAGCCCCACAGCCCTCCTGGGGATGCAGGCCCCCGGATCTGCATGCCAAATGACAGCATGCTGTTGCTGTCAGCTGGAGCCAGCGGCAGCAGCAGTCTTCCTGGCGCTAGGGGCAGATCAGGGGGGCTGTGCCGGACTCCTCCCAGGGGTGTGGGACCCTGATCTGTGTGCCGGATGACACGAGGCTGCTGCTGCTGCCTCCTAGGACCAGAGCTGGGCACAGCTCATGCCCAGCACTGGGAAGATGCCCATGCTCACCTGCTCACTCCTAGTGCCCCTGCCTCAGCCCTGTTGTACAGGTAGGGACCATTGTGCAGCCCTGACCCTGCATGCCCTGCAAACTGAAGTGAGCAGCAGCAGTGGGGAACGAGCTGGTGCTCAATGCAGGGTGGGGGAAGCAGCCGCTCCCCCGCCCTCTCACTGTGGCCAATGCCCCATGCTGCAGCTGCTCACAACCTGGGTGGGGCTGACCTGCCTCTCTGTCGCATCACTGGAGAGCAGGCACAGGCAGCCCCGTGCAGGCTCTGGGCAGTTGTAGCACAGGGCGCTGGCCATGGGCAGGGGGAGCAGCCACTTCTCCTCTGCAGTAAGCACCAGCTCTTTCCCCACCACTGCTGGTCCAGTGCACAGAGTCGGGGCTGCGCGCTGCTCCCTGTCTATACCGTGGGGCTGCGGCAGGGGTACTAGGAGTGAGCAGGTGAGTGCAGGGCCTTCTTGGTGCTGGGCATGGGCTTTGCCCAGCATTGGTTCCACATGGCGGCAGCAGCCTCCTGTTATCTGGCATGCAAATTGGGGTCTCGCCTGGACTCCCAGGAGGGTTGCGGGGCTGTGCTGGACTCCTTCCAGGGTGCGGGTCCCCAATCTCCAGATGACTGGAGGCTGCCTCTGCTGCCTGGGGCCAGCGGCAGCACCAATCTTTCCAGCGCTGGGTGCGGGCTGTGCCCAGTGCCAGTCCCAGACAGCAGCAGCAACCTCCTGTCATCTGGTGCACAGATTGGGGGCCCACACCCTGGGAGGAGTCTGGCCCAGCCCTGCAGCCCTCCTGGGGGTGCGGGTGAGCCCCCACTCTGCATGCCGGATGACAGGAAGCTGCTGCTGCCACCTGGGACTGGTGTTGGGCACAGCCCATGCCAAGCACCGGGAAGATTGGTGCTGCCGTTGGCCCTAGCTGGCAGTGACAGCATGCTGTCATCCAGCACACAGATCCAGGGACCTGCACCCCTGAGAGGGCTGCAAGGCTATGCCAGACTCCTTCCCGGTCATCCAGATCTGCACTCTGGATGACAGGAGGCTGCCGCTGCTGCCTTGGGCCAGAGGCAACATCAGTCTTCCCAGTGCTGGGCACTGGCTGTGCCCAGCACCGGTCCCAGGCAGCAGCAGCAGCCTCCTGTCATCTGGCATGCAGATCTAAGGTCCCGCACCACTGGGAGGAGTCTAGCACAGCCCCACAGCTCTCCCAGGGGTACAGGCTCCTGGATCTGCGGGCCAGATGATAGGAGGCTGCCGCTGCCAGCAAATGTCACGAGTTCTGCTTTGAACAGTTTAAGATTCAGTTTCCCAGAAACCTCTGTACCTATCACCTTGAAACTTGGCAGGCTTCATGCCCTCAGAAGGGGCTACCATTCCTGCAAGTTTCATGTGAATCAGGCAAGAAATAACCATGTTTTTAGGCATTTTCACGATTCCCGATTATAGCCTATGGGTAAAATGTCAAAACAGTTTTGATGAAACTAAACGGAACAGTGCTAACAAAACTCGAAACAAAACACTGTCCCAGTGAAATGGCAAAATGGAAGTCGAAATGAAATGGTGCTGTTTTGCACAGTCCAGATCTCCCTAGGAAGCCACGCTCTGGAATTTCTTCCGTCCTGATTAAGAAAATGATCCACTAATATGCTCATAGGTTGCCTTGCCCACTCTGGTCATTTGTATCTGATTGGTCTATACTTGACTTAATAACAAAGTATGCGAGAGGCAGAAGACCATGATGAGCTTGTTTTAGCAAAAGGGAGATGGTAATATGTGGTCTGGCTTACCACACTGGATCAGACCATTTTGTTATCTTGTCTGGTGAGAATCATCTCTTAGTGGCTTCTTTGTGACACTTCACAGGAAATCACGGGTCTCCCTCAATAGCATTGTATCTCATTGGGCAGTAGCAAAGTAGAGGAGAAAAATTTTCCTGCCATCCTGCTGGCAGTCAGCTCGTGTCTTGAGAAGAGTATATTGATGGTTTTGACCTTTAACACATTAGTTGGTGCTGTATGCTATGAGTCTCAGTTATGCCCTGTAGTAGAGAGTTCCTAAGGCTAATCCTGCTGTCCTCTTACCGTTGTTTTTTTTTTCCAGGGTTCTTATTGGACAATAGACACCTGTCCAGATATTTCTCGCAAGAGGCGGCACCCTCCAGATGATGATGTGAGTATGACTCTTTCCTGAGAGCAGATGAGGTTACATGGGGATCAGAATTCCCTTCTTGCTCCAGGAAAAGGGAAGCCTTCCGGGGCTTTATTGTCATCATACTGGGGAAAGTGGAGTTTGTACAAGAAGGAAAAGTCTGGGACCAGATGAATGTTGAGGCTGACTTCTCTGGTCACACCATGTAGCTGCTATTGCTCTCACCCAGAACTGATCTTTAGCTTTGTCTGGCAAAAGCCTGAGACCTCTTGAATGTTCTTTCACTCCTGGCGCTGCCCTCCCCCACCCCTTTTTAGGGCATGTGCTTGTACAAAGGGGAGTCAGATTCTCATCTGCAGTTTCACTTCTCCTGCTGTTTCTGATTTCCTCCTTTCTTTTCTCATTCCCTCTCCCCATCCACAGATACCACAGGACTCCCCAGAGCAAGAGGCAAGCAAGAGCCCCCGGGGGGCTGTCCCAGTCAGCACAGAAGCTTCTCTTCCCCCCGAGGCCACCCCCCAGCTATCGCTGCAGACCACCAGCCCCATTGCTAACTACAGTCAAGTGAGTGACAGGAAAAGAGAAGGTAGTATAAAAGTGATATTATAGCCATGAAGTCCAGAAATTATGTGAGGGACAAGAATTTCTTAGAGTGCTATCTTTTTTGGACCAATTATCTAGTTGGGATAAGGTTAGACAAGCTATTGAATGCAAGAGAAGGGGCAGGAAAGAAGAGGCAGAGCAGGTAAGGGAGAAGAAATGGAGAGAGATTTCCTAGACTGGAGGTTAAATGGGGGGGATGAGATACTTAGATAAGAGCTGGAACAAAAGAGGATATAAAGGGGAGGCAGCTTCATGATTGGGAGGAAGAAATGCAGAGAAGAGGAGCAGATGGGGGATGAGGAGAATGGCAGGTGGGTTGAGAGGTGACTGAAGGATACAGAGAAGTAGCACATCCTGGGAGGGCAGAGGAGGGGGAGTACTCAGAGCCTAGTGGGAAGGTGTTTTTGTTGGGAGAAAAATGGGTGACAAGAGACTAGTGCCTTTTTCTGGTGTATCCCCTCCTGCCTCCTTCCTCAAACCTTTCTGTGGAGTTACAAAGCTGTATATCTTTCCCTCCCCTACCCATCGTGTATGATCCCCAGCAGGGTGCGGGGCCTGTGGATGCAGCATCCACCGTGGCAGGGGGGCAGGGCCGCGAAGGGGCAGATGTACCACCCCCTCTCTACAGCACCAACCATGACTTCAAGTTCTCCTACTCTGAGATCAACTTCCAGGACCTGAGCTGGTCCTTCCGAAACCTCTACAAATCCATGCTGGAGAAATCCTCCTCTTCCCAGCACGGTGAGTACCAGAACTATGCAACTAATGCACCTCTTTTTACCACCCAATTCTTCCTTTCTAGCAGCCTATGAAAATGTGGGTCTCTTATTTAGAAATATTCTAGTTCTCCTCTCAGGTGTATTTCATGTGCAACGCTTTCTCAGTCTCTCAGCCACCATTTCTTTCTACAGAACTAGCAATTATTTAAAAAATGTATAATGCTGACACATTGGGAACAAAAGGAGGAACAAAAGTGCCTGGAAGGCTGGAGAAATCTGTTTCTGAAGAAAGGCTTGACAGAAAAAAATGTGGATGTCTGCTGTCATGATCCAGAAATGCAGGTTTTTGGCAGGGGGAGAAGGTTGTTAGAAACAAATTGTAGAAGAGCCTCCACAAAGGGAAAGGGTAGGAACATTGGCAACATGTAGGGGGTGCACATAGGTGCACATGAACTCCCTGAGATTGGCCATGCACCCCCTGGAAGCACCATCTGCAAAACTGGAAGTGCCACCGGAAATCACTTCTGGTTTTGCTGTTGGCTTGTCGATCAGTCTTTGGGGGAGCCGCCCACCCCCGGCGATCTGGTGCCCCCCAGACTCGGGAGGTACCAGTCGCCCATGGGTAGGAAGCCCCGCTCACATTGGTCCCTAAAACCTGGAGCTGAATGGAACTCCAAGGAATACAGTGCAATGAAAAGGAGTGGTTGTAATTTTAATGGGTAAAAGACAGACTAACCGTAATCCATTCCTGTTCTCTGCATTCTCTGATTCCTAGAACAGCCAGTAGAGGGCAGCCTCTCATTAGGGATATGAACAAGGGGCACAGAAGAAAGCCTGAAAACAATTCCTGTTTGCTGCTTTTGTGTTTAGAAACATACTTTTGAAATATTGAGCTGGTGTGGGACAGGCAATATTAGTAAACCAGGGCCATGCCTGTATTGATAATCATAAGTTCTTAGTCTTTCTAGGCTGCAGTCATAACACTGCTAACAGTGTTCAGACAAACCTGCAAGCTGAAGGACTTCTGTGGTTCATGGATTTGCTGGGCTATTGGCGTTGTAGTAGCAGCTGGGATCCCCTGTCATGGGCTGGGCATTTTGCAAAGAAAGCTAAAATCTGCCACACAGGCTGAGTATATCCAGTCCCTCCAGCTTAGGCAGCTTTAGTACTGGCTAGCATACACTTTCAGAAAATTCATCATGTATCAAGAGGCTGTGCCGATGACTTGGTAGCCAGAATGAGCAAGGGTGGCCTCAGAGCCCCAGCCCAGTGGTAGGTGCTCCTAGAGGTGCTGTCTTTGAACAAGATGTAAAATGAGCTCAACTTCTAAACAGAGATTTAAGGAGCCTCATTGTGGGAGTGAGTAGCATCCTGGTCATGGGGTTCTGTGCCATTCACGTAGATGGCTCAAATCCAGCATGTGGCTGTATTGACTGAAGTACGATGTGAGGCTGGCAGGTCTTGGTCCTGTTCCTACCATCACCAAAGATAACAGGTAGCCCTTTCTTGTTGACAGTCTCAGCAGATGTGCCGAACAGTCTGATTTTTCCCTGTTTCTGAGAGTGTCAGAATTATTGAAGATACTGGGTAGGGTTGAGAATTTAGCACTACTTTAAATAAGGCCCCTTATTAAGGCATACGGCTTGGCTGAAAATGTTGACTGGGAGTGTTCATTCACTTTTCCTGGACAAACTATTGCTCTCAAAAATATTTGAAGCTGAGAGAGAACTTTGGGGAGGCACAGCTAAAGAGTTTGCTTCCTGTCCTATTGCTGACATGTAACACTTAGCTGTTTAAATGCTTGCTGCCTTCCTCCCCCTTCCTTTCAGAAGGCCACAATGTCAGTGGATGTGAGTGATCCTCCTACACAGTGGTCTGGGTTGAAAGGTGCTAGATGAGCATTGAATAACCAATACCGAGCGACAGAGAGAGAACATAATGCCAGTAACTTATAAGTGATGTGCAGCAGTAAAGCTGAATGTGCACGTATACTTTCACTGCTGCTGTAGCATGACTTAAGGATGCCTGAGATGCTGAGGCCAGGGGTGGGTGGAGGTTCTTGGGGTGAGCTGAACGAAACCACATGGATCCCCTGACATTGAGTTAGTAGAGCCAGCAGCTCCTATCCCTCCATGACTGTGGGGAGCAGAGGCTCCCAACCAGTAAGCTGTGAGTGGGCTACAAGGGGAAATATGAGCCATGTGTTTGTGGGGGTGGGGGAACCAACTCCCTCCCAAATCTTGCCATGGTGTCAAGCAACATGGGACTGAGATTGTGTTGCTCCACACATGCTACCTCCTGAACCACCTCAGTGTAGCACCATGGGTAGGGTAGTTAGGTCTACCGAGAAGCAGAGCTTGGGTGCAGTGCTGCTCAGACACAGCCTTGCTGCTTTTGTTCCAGCCCGGGCACACTTAGCTTGGGTGTCTCTGCCATATGCCTGAAAAGAGTGCCACAAGGCAAGATGGGTCTTAGTGATCTTAAGGTAGGTAGTAGGGTTATGCCAGAGGTTTGGGGGTGGAGTGTACTGGGAGCAGTATGGAACCGAATTCAGCCCTGAGATTAGAAAGTTGAGAACTACTGATCAGGAGACAGAAAGCGGAGTATATTCAGGAGAGATAAGGAGATACTGGGTACCACTGTATGATGCATTGCTAAGGTCCCATTTAGAAAAGTGTGCTGGTCTGGTCACCAACATTCAAGAAAGATGAACTTAAACTCGAAGGAGTTCAAAGAAGGGGTACAGGGATGGTTAAGGGAATAGATAGCTTTTCTTATGAAAGATTTGAAGTTCTTGGCTTGTTTATCTGAACAGAACAGAGCTTGAGAGGAAACACAATCACTGCACAAGTGCATTATAGGGGGGGTGGCAGAAGGGATTTTTTTAGCTGAAAAATAACACTAAATCAAGATCAAATGGCTATAAAGTGGTTTACGGACAAATGTTGCAAGAAGTCCTCTTCTACTTTCCAGTCTATCAGGGCTAAGTTTTGGAATGGTCTTCCAAGCTAAGTAGTTTGAGGCCAAAAATCTGAATTGTTCTAAAACTGAACTCAGTAAGTTTATGGATGGGGTGGTGTGATAGGACAGGGAGCTCTGGTTCAACAATCAATGTGTGTGTTATGTGGAATCCTGTATCTTCAACCCCTGTGTTGGATATAGACGTAACTGTCTTACATTGTGGCAAGAGTCTGCTAATCTCATGCTTGGGGCTTTTGCTGGTCACCTGTAGGGACCCAGAAAGATTTCCCTACATCTCCTCATGAATGCTGTTGGCTCTGGCAGAATGAGGGTTGTCCTTCTAAAGCAGGAATGGGCAAAAATACAGCCAGATCCAGTCCTCCAGGTGACTGGATCCAGCCCACAGATGCCCCCATGGCACTCAACATGGGGCCAAGGCCCACCTACTTGCACTGGGGCAGCCCACACCAAGCTCCTGCCTGCAGCCCAGCCAGCATGGATAGTTTGCAGTGGGGTTGTTCTCAGTGTGGCTGCAGCTGGGTGCTGCTCTAATCCCCGACTTCAGTGGCTGTTCCTTCTTTGGATCTTGCCCCAGGTGAGCGGCTTCAAGTGGCTGGAAGCTGAAGCTGGAACCCTGTGCACAGAGGCAGGAGCCACCTGGCTGAAGGTGCTCAGCCACCTGTCTCCTCACTGGGAGCAGAATGGCTGGGAAAGGATCAGGAGTTGCTGCTGGAGGTGAAGGGAGCAGAATAGCACGCAGCTGCAGCCACACTGGGAACAGCTCTGCTGGAAGCTGCTCTTGAACTTGCTCTGGTAGCGCCATGTCATACCACTCCAGGCAGCCAGGCAGCTTCAGCTGGGTGGCTCCTGCCCCAGTGCATGGGGCTCTAGCTTCAGCTCCTGACTGCCTTCCTAGGAGCTGGTGTCCGAACCCTGCGTGATGGGGCAGGAGCCACCCAGCTAAAGCTGCCCACTCACTCAGAGTGGTGCAGCATGGTAGGGGCAAGATCAGGAGAAAGAGCTGCCACTGGAGTTGGGGGGAACAGAACAGCATGCAGCTGGGTGAGCTTTGCTGCATGCACACCTGCATTCCCCTCCCCTCACCCATGGCAGGCTTCTGGGACCTAGCATCATCCAGGCAGCCTCCCTCCCACACATACACTCATACATACACCTTCCCCCTCCTCCCCCACTGCCTTGCAACTTGGCCCCATGATCCCAACCTTGCCCACCCCTATTGCTCCTGAACAGTGCTCCCCACCTGCCCACAGCCCCATAGGGAGTTTTGGTGAGATGTTGTGGCGTGGGGAGTGCTGAGCCAGCTCATGACAGCTTATCAAAACTCCTCATATTATTAGGCCCAAATAATTGCCCCCCCCCCCAGTCTAAGGCATTGGGAGGCTGCCCATAACTAAGGCTGCAGTTCTGCCTGGGTTGCACTGATACTTCTGTTGGTACTTAGAAAACTCAGGGGTTCCTGGCAGAGGATCTTGCTTTTCCGCTCAGGGTCATTTCCATTGCCAGATTCAAGGTCAGGAAAGAATTTTTCCAGTAGAATGCATTGGCATAGATTGGGACATGGAGGGTTTTGTTGCTTTGTAGCATATTTCATGGTCTTCTGCCTCAGATCCAGTGAGCAGCTATTAACCAGTTCCTTTCTGGCTGGTGCACACATCTCCCTCCTTCTATCCATGGCATGTTTTATAGCAGGGGCAGGCAATTATTTTGCAGAGGGCCGCTTACTGAGTTTTGGCAAGCCATCGAGGGCTGCATGACAGGCAGCCCAGGGCAGTTAAATATTAATTTTCTAAATTTTTTTAGAGGCCCCATGGGCTGGATAGAATGGCCTGGTGGGCCGCATCTGGCCCCTGGGCTGCATTTGGCCCACCCCTGTTTTATAGGCTTTAGAGTTTTTTGTTTGTGTTTCAGGTTTTGTTCTTTATAGTTTGGAAGTGATGATGTTGGGGATTCCTTGTGTTAACACTTGCCTGCAAACATAGGGATTTGGGTTTGATGGCCCAGGAAGCCCTGTGTAGCCCTGTGTTCCCATGAAGCACTGGC